CCGGAAAGCAAGCCTTTCACCTACAGAAGAGGTTCCAAAAAATTTTGAAACCCACCACACACACACACACACACACACACACACACACACACACACAGAAAGAGAAAGAAAGGAAGAAGGAAAGAAAGAAAAAGTGAGAGATGAAAGAAAAAAAGGAAAAAGGGACAAAGAGACAAAAGGAAAGAGGGAGAGAGAGACAGAGAGAGAGAGACAGAGAGAGAGACAGAGACAGAGAACACATGGCCAGCAAGCCACTCCCACCAGGTCACATGGCCGGCAAGCCACTCCCACAAAGGAGGCCACTCCCACAGAGTAGGTTCGAAAATTTTTTGAAACCCACCACTGGGGTGGGCACACTCGTGCTTTTGGCATCTGAGGCGATAAAGGTTCGCCATCCTTGGTATAGGGTATCCTGCTTGAGGAAGAGGTGGGACTAGGAGATTTCCAAGATCTCTTCCAACTCTGTTATTCTGTTATCCTGCATTTTTCTTAGTCACAATATGGAAAGAGTTTGCGATTGGCTTCTTCTGGTTTATGTAATGAATTTTCAGTCTAGAAAGCCTAGAGTTTCCCGGTTGTCTCCCATCCAGACCTTAACCAGGTCTGACTCTGCTTAGAACTTCAAGACCAACCAAGCTTCAGTTATTGTCCTCTAGGGTAGAATGTAATTGCGCTGCGGGACTTTGAATATGTTTGAAAATATTTGGTATATTGGCAGCTTAGTTGCATCAATAGGAACCAACTGCTGTTTGCTCAATGGCCTATGATGGCTAATGGCTTCCAGCTATCATGCATGATAGCTTATGTACAAGACCCTCGTTTCAATTCTCTTGCTGCACACTGTGAAGAAGAAGAAAAATAGGGCTGGGACAACTAAGCTGAATGCGCTTTCTTCAACAGGAAGTCAGCCCTTCAAATGTCCATCTTCAACAGGAAATGTGGCAGAAGAGAGTGTGAATAGCAGTGGTGGGTTTCAATTTATTTTTACTTCCGGTTCGCTCTCAGACACACGTGACGCTTCTGCGCATGCACAGAAGTGTCCAGGCGGGTGGGCAGAGCCTCCCGTCGCCGTCAATACCGGTTCGTCCCATCCGGGGGCGAACCGGTAGAAACCCACCTCTGGTGCATAGTAAGGAATGCCAAACTCCTGTCTTAAAGTGGTGGAAGTTCACCTGCAGCTCTCGAATTTATTCAGGCCTTTTTCTCACTGAGGTTTTGAGTTCAGATCTATATAATCTAGCACAGGGGTGTCAAAATCAAGGCCTGAGGGCTGGATCCTGCCCGTGGGGTACTTAGATCTGGCCAGTGGAGTCACCCTGGAAACAGCGGCCCGTGGTGCTTCTGCCAGCGAAAACAGGTTCCCGAGCTCCATTTTTGGCTGCCACAGCCTCCGGCAACCCTCTGTCAGTGAAAACGGAGCAGGAGTCAAGCTATTTTCCAAAGCACCTGAGGGCAGGACAAGAAGCAATGGGTGGAAACTAATCAAGGAGAGAAGCAACTTATAACTAAGGAGAAATTTCCTGACAGTTAGAACAATTAATCAGTGGAACAGAAGTTGCCTCCAGAAGTTGTAAATGCAATAGCAATAGCAGTTAGACTTATATACCGCTTCATAGGGCTTTCAGCCCTCTCTAAGCGGTTTACAGAGTCAGCATATTCGCCCCCACAGTNATCCTCCAGAGCCGACTCATAGGGCCTGTCGCTGTTGGAGTCTGGTGGCAGCTCCAACGGCTCCTGCTGGGCCACAACAGAAATCTGTTATAAATAGGATCAGTTCATTAATCCGGACAACTTTAATATCATAAGTGGTAGCAAGTTAGCAAAATCAGACAGATGTTACGTGTGAATTTTCATCAAAAGGTGAACAATTGTTTTTATGGAGATTTCTGAATTTACATTCTTATGTTGATGTAGATACAAGATAAATATATTTCACACGATGTTTGTTTCCTAATAAATCTTAATTCGACTGAGAAATGCCCTGTATTGAAATAATAACTACAATATTTGCTTTTGTTTAAATAGGACTGGGCCCTTGGTGTTCTGCATGCTAAAATAATTGCTGCCATAACTTTAATGGGGCCACAATGGTGGCTGAAAACAGTCATTGAACAGGTTAGAAATATTTATCTTGTTTGCTTTAGTGACCAGAATATTGATGGAATATATCAATGTATGATATAATGAATAACATTTCTTTTTAGTTGGAATTGCTTTCCTCAGAAAACTGGCAATATTTTTCCCTTGCACATCTGTGAATTCTGCTCCGAAACCAATTTGGAAGATCATGTACTATCCGGGGGGAGGGGGGGGATTTCATTTAGCAATCGTTCAAAATAACAATGACACTGAAAAAAGGGACATGACTATTTTTCACACTTATGACTGTTGCAGCATCCCCATGGTCACATGATCAAAAATTAAGACATTTGGGAACTTACTCTCATTTATGACCATTGCAGTGTCTCTGAGTCACCTTTGGTAACCTTTTGACAAGCAAAGTCAATGGGGAAACCAGATTCACTTAACAACTGTGTTACTAACTTAACAATCGCAGTGATTCACTTAACAATTGTGGCCAGAAAGGTTGCAAAATGGGGCAAAACTCACTTAACAAATGTCTTATTTAGCAACAGAAATGTTGGGCTCAGTTGTGGTTGTAAGTCAAGGACTACCTGTACTGTTCTATGAATGAAAATCAGTCACGTGGCCTATTATCACAAAAAGAACAGTTTTGAGAAAATAGTTTGTTTTATTAGAATTTTCATGTATATAAGACTATTAAAATGGTCCATTTTGAATTGAGCATTAATATATCGGTAGCGAAATTAACTTCGATTATATGGCCTGGATACAGATTTGTATTTTGTAAACAGAAATTTTTTTTTTTCTATTCATGGAAAGCAATGGAATCTAGCAGAGGCATTCAGTAAAGGAGGGTCTGAAGAACATCTAACAATTACTCCCTCCATCTGGGTCAATTTTCACGTAGCTGTAATCTCCCAGGCATATACATGCTTTAGTGAGGAAGAATCACATACTTTAATATTTTGTTTACAAGTCAACTAAATAGCAATAGCAATAGCAGTTAGACTTATATACCGCTTCATAGGGCTTTCAGCCCTCTCTAAGCGGTTTACAGAGTCAGCATATTGCCCCCCACAGTCTGGGTCCTCATTTCACCCACCTCGGAAGGATGGAAGGCTGAGTCAACCTTGATAATCGTTCATTTCCTTAACTTAGTTCATGATTACTGTGGCCTTGTTTAGGTGTCTTTCAGTCAGTAAAATATTGCCCTCATTCTGGAAAGCTTCTCACGGTCATTATTTCTCAGTGCATCTTAGAGTTCTCATAGAAACCCTAGGAAAGAAAAAAAACAATGTATTTTTAAATAAAGTTGTATTAATTTTCTACTATTACATTTAATTAGTGCTTAATAAACATTGTGTTGTCTGGGACATTTTGTTTGCTTAACAATACAAATTACATTACTAATCTTTACCATTTTTCCCCAGCCACTGATAAAATAAATTCCATGTATGATAGTATTCTGTGCCTTCTTTTTGTTTAATTTTCAATGTGAATCTGTCCATTTCTGCACAGTCCAATATCTTCTTAATTATGTCTTCATTAAATGGTATTTCTTCATTTTTCCAATGCCCATCGTAGGAACCCTAGTATTTTTATTGTAAGTATTTTTTAGACAGCGTGTATAATTTGTTATCCCTCAAACCATTTGGTGGCTACAGAGCATCCCCAGATCATGCCATTTAAGTTTGCTGACAAACTAGGTAAACTTTAGGTGCTAGAAAGATCAAACTAAATCCATTTTGCATCCTTGAATTTCCTACCACCAGTTTGTTTGGTCCCACCCACTTTTGAGTTCCTATATATCAGACATATTCCCTGAATTTGTGGAGGCCAAAATAAATGCAACTAAAAATAACATGCACCTCTCATCTCTGTTTATGTTGACAGTCTCTTCCAGTTATGAATATAAGCTTTGCACTAAGTATAATCTTTGCTGGACAATAATTATTCATATATCTTTAATCTTATATTTCAGGTTTATGCAAATGGAATTCGAAATATTGACTTACACTTTATAATACAAAAGCTTGCAGCACCTGTTATTTCAGTTTTACTGCTTTCTCTCTGTGTACCTTATATTGTAGCTTCTGGTGTTACACCTTTGTTAGGTAAGATTTCATATTTAGACAAGAAATTCAGTTAAGATTTACAGTAGAAATATATTATCATTATTATATTAAAATATCAAATCTTCATATGGTGCAATTTAAATGAATGATATGTCAACTATATCCATATCTTTCTTAACACATTAATCAATCATTTCAATATATTGTATTTTATGTTTATCTTAAAAACTCAAATAGTGAATTTAAGAAATTAAAACTATAGAAACTGATGCTATATCGGAGAGTCATCAGGTGAGCTTTAGATGATATTTAAAATTCCAGTTTTTATCCTCAAAGAACAAGTCTAAAGATAAGCCTTGAAACCTAATCCAAATGGATAAAAATGATTTCTTGAATATTCAGTATTTGTGTAGAAGAAAGATTAATAGGACATGGCATTTTTTTCAAATTTATTTATAAAATTTATAGGTTGATCATCTTACCTCAAGATAAGTCATATTTGCATTATAATCAAAATTATTGCAGAGTAGTATAAATTCAGTAATCACAACATAAACATATCTGTACCATCCCCAAAATAATCATACAACTTTTTTTTCACCTCCTGATTTCAGTATTGAAATGAGAGTTCATAGAACACAGAAAATTACTTTGTGCTCCTGTCATGTTTGCAAGTGTTTTCTGAATCTGGAGCAAGTTTGGGATGAATGAATATGAAATTCAACATAAAATAGGGTTCAAATATGCCATAGTTTTATTAGTTCTAATTTCTGTGAATTTGGCCAGCAGGTGACCAAGAACCTGCCGAATTTCCTTTGGGAAGTTGAGTGGAAGCATAGCTGGCATCAATGGACAGTACAGCCTGCTTCACTTGTTCACTACTACTAGTCTACAATGTAGCTGATATATAGTATGGAAGGCAGATTGGCCTATGCATCCTATATATGTGACCCCTGCCCCCCTTAAAATTTTCATTAGGCATATATGCCAGTTGTCAATTCCTGATAATCTTATGGTATGGTTGTTGCTCAAGTTTCAGAATCAGCATATTAAATAAAAACTTTTAAGTAATTTCATATAAAGAAGGCAAATGATTTTATTTGCCTTTTTGGATAAATGGGATCCTACACAAAGTTCCTGGTGTTACACTTGGCCTTATTTTCGGGGAGGTGTTATTATTTTTGAGGTGCAGGAGGCGGCAAATGTGGTCACCTCATAGCTGCTGCTTTGTTGCAGTATTTTCGGGGAGGTGTTATTATTTTTGAGGTGCAGGAGGCGGCAAATGTGGTCACCTCATAGCTGCTGCTTTGTTGCAGTATTTTCGGGGAGGTGTTATTATTTTTGAGGTGCAGGAGGCGGCAAATGTGGTCACCTCATAGCTGCTGCTTTGTTGCAGTATTTTCGGGGAGGTGTTATTATTTTTGAGGTGCAGGAGGCGG